TTAAGAAGGAGGGATTGTTTGGTGTTTTCTTTACAATTTATCTTTGAAGTCCAGGAAGTGTAAATGAGTAAAAGACTCTAACAGTTTCTTTTTAAGAGCACATCTTAAGTCGAAGGCTGTATAATCTTTTGTTCCGAAACTAAACCCATTAGTCACACACCGAAAGAAACGAAAACAATAGTTTTTGTAACAGTGCCAAAGATAAACATGGGTTTTTTTTAAATAGCAACGATAAACGGTGAAAAAAAGCTGGGAGATATTTTTATCCTTAAAACTTGCACTGAATGCAAAATACGAAATTAGAGTGCCACCTTGTGAAGAAACTTTCGGTTACACAAGAAATGCTTTTCTGCAAGTTACTGCGCCAACATAAAAACTGAGATATATTTTTATCTCGCAAATATAACTAAGTTTCGAATCCATATTCACAAGTCTACCCTTTCATGGATCATGTGCAAATCTGAACAAGAAAATGTAGGGGAAAAGCCGTGGACGGAGAAACCTCTTGGACGCAAGAGGAGATCGTTATCTTCTGATGATGGTGACGCAAACAAAAGATACGATAGTGTGAGAGAGATACCAAATGATTATAACAAATAGGTGCAGGAGAGCAGTTCACAGCTGATTACATGATTGTGATTTAAAGAAATGGAACTGATGATAACTGAATAATCACATAAAAATCGCATGACTTGTTGCAAGGAAAAGAGACATCGCAAAGTTGAATATACTGGCATAAAATATTTTCCGATGAAATCGAAACTGTCATCTTTGATGAAAGCCATCTATGTGTGTCGAGAACCAGGGAAGTAGCTTAATGACCCGAATGTCTATGTCATGGTAGATTCCATGTTTTGGGGTCACATTGCTTATCAAACTTAAATAAATATAAAATTATGGGAAATATGAATAACCAGAAGTACATTTATCATTTCGCTTACGGCCAGTTTTGCAAACTAAAAATTCACATGTTAGGATGACAACGCATATTGCAACATTTGTATTTAATTTCGTGCCTGGAAACAGGAAAACAATTGTAAAAATTTTAAATGACCATCACAATTATCTGACCTTAGTACATTTTGAAAATGTTTATCATATTCTCAAATTCAGACGTATAAATTGTTGTTTTAAAATTTAGTACTAATTTTCTTATACTGAAGTCTATTCGGTCCCGATTATTGAATGACCTGCACTTTAACTCTCATTAAGAAACTTCCAGACGCTAAATTATCAATCGCTATGGACTTTTGCAATGGTGGCCAAGTACTAAACCGGGTCAAGAAAAGAGTACACCGAGTCTAATTGTCACAATACGGGTAGAACGAACTTATTTATCAATATACGTGGCGTTCATTTTCAAATCACAGGGCGCGACCTTCAACTTCTCGAGGCGTGTAAATAATAACCTTCCAAACGAATACGGATGTGTGAAGATCCAAACAAAGTAAATAATTGCCATTTAAAGGTGTGAAGAATCAAATTTTAAAATATGACACCAATTGCTGAAATGATCGCTGTTGAACACATGACCGTATGACTTACTTTAGAGAAGGAGCTACAGGCCATTTGGACATCGGCCAGTACAGACTGTATCAAAGTTTTTATACAGCATCATTCCCAGGAGACTCCAAGATGTTATAAAGTACGGAGACCAAGTTACAAAATACTGAAAACTACAGGGAATTCTTAAATGTTTCGTTATTCTGCTTTAATGTTACGCATTCAGTGTTCGTGAAGTCGTCGTCGTCAACTGTAAGCTGCTCGCACTATAGAGCTCAGTAAAACTATGTAGTATTTCGTTCTTTGATGAGTTGGAAGTATTCACATAAATTAATAATATGCTTTCTAATGTGATACAAATTAACAAATGAAATTACCAAAAATAATACCGGGGAGAGAGAGAGAGAGAGAGAGAGAGAGAGAGAGAGAGAGAGAGAGAGAGAGAGAGAGAGAGAGAGAGAGAGAGAGAGAGAGAGAGAGAGAGAGAGAGAGAGAATTAATATGTATACATACGCCGTTCATTCCTTGTTTTTTTAGAAGACCAAATGCCTCTCAGGTGCCACGGTAGATCAGTGATTAATGTACGAAACTCACGACCAGAAGAACCCTGGTTGGAACCCCTCAATTGATTATAAGTCATTTGTGTTTTGTGGTGTTTCCTAGAGAAGTGAATTTAAACAAAATCTAGTCTAGTTTGTTGGCGAGGATGCGTTCAAATGGTCAGTACCAGAGGACGAAGCAAAACTGGGGCCAAAATTCTTCTGTCCGAGTTTATGTTTAAATTGACCTCTCGCTGAGACCCTTAGCCAAAGTCAAAGGCCGGTAACTAGCTACACCATTGTTTCCATATTGCTAATTCAGTGACGTCATTCGCACAACAGTGACGTTATTCCCATCAGGGCTAGTTTGCAAACTACCATCTAAATTGCAGTCAATGGTTTGTATATTCACATTGGCGCGATGCATAATGGGGAAAAAGTACTACGATTCCCTACTTATACTTTGACGATAGAGGATGGTTATATGTGATCTTCCAACACCGGATGAGTGATGCAGTTGTCAGCGAAAAATTGCTTATGTGTGGAGTTAAAGTCAGGTATAAGGTGAACTTGTGTGCATTGGCAACATGGAGAATGGAAAGAATGTTGACATACCTCCATCTTGCTTTCATTTGCCGTTATTCAAATTAAATTTATATATAGCATTATGAAAACAAACCACTCTGTCAAAAGCAGATTTTTGATCGAAATAGCTCCTCACATTTACTAGATAAATGAACTTAAACTAGTCTCAAATATTAGCCTCTAAATGCGCAAAAACAAGAATGGTAAACTAATTTTTTTAATTTACTTCTTAAGTACAAAACGAGAAACTGACCAAATGAACTTGCAGTCCTATGAAAGATGCATATTTGAGGTTCCCACTCTATAACTTTATACTTTGCACAGGTATTTGATATTTAAAGAAAAATAATTTCATATATTTTTTTTTCTGACTGATTATCCTGGTTATATAGACTTGGTATAACTTAGGCATTGTTGATATAAGCTTTAATATTTTTGGTGGGGTATGTTTGATAGGTGTAAGTTTGGTTATAGAGTATACAGCTTGGCCTTCGTTTAGATGTGCATCTCACTAACGAGTATTAACTCGGCTTGTTCTTTTTCACTTTCTGAACGTCAGAGTTAAATTATTGAAAATAATACATGATAAAACTTCTTTCAGTGTTTTTTTTTAACTTTTATAATTACATAATTGCAATTTCATAAAAATTGATTTTCCTCCTTTTAAAAACTGCTAAAGGAAATGTACTTTGAACAAATTAAAGTTAAGTTCTCGAGAACATGCGGGCAGCCATTTCGATCACCTATTTGCTATAGGCAGTTCATTTTTTCCCTAATAACTACATATGTAGAAATTTCAGTCACAGTACATGAACGAAGCATAGATTAATGCCAATATTCTTTCCACCGTGCTTGTTGCAAATGCACACCACAACTTCATTTTATACTTGTCCCTCTTTCAGACTACTAAATAACTGTAGAGTGGAACATTGAACTAAGGCCAATCTGTATACCTTAGAACGCAAATGGCATCGATCAATCATACAGCAAAATAAGAAAATTAAATGATCTTAGAAAAAACTGACATATACAGGTTTAGAAGAAAAAAAAAAAGACTTATAAAAAAAACATAACCAAGATCACCAGTGAGGAAATTCTGGAAAACTTTCTGTAACTTTTACAAAACCCTGTGCATTATGTGAAACTGTAGGGGCAAATTAAACACTTTTCAAATATTTTTGAGATACTTATTAAAATATAGCTGATTAATTTATTTAATTATAAGAATTATACGCCAGATGTGAATATATAGCTATATATTCATTATATTTCACCAAAAACTATTAAGAGAAACAAATCATACAATTCCATTAATCATGAGATGTCTCTCCTTTCTCCAAGTGCCCGTATACCATAAAACACCAAACCAAACCAAGTACTATAAAGGATGTGGAGACTATCTCGAATTGATCGTCAGCTGTGTTTTTCTTTCCTGTCTTTTGTATATTTTACTTGTCTTTTCAGACATATACCAAAATCAAATAATTTCTAAACTATAAACGTATCTTGTGGTGCAAACCACCTCCCCGCATATGTACAAAATAGCTTGAGTCGCTCGGAAAATTAAAGGTTTCAACCAAAAACAGAAAAGGTATCGCCTAATTTATCTATATAAAATAATTTATCACAAAACATGCTTGCTACTTAACTCACCCATCTTCCTCCAATGCCATCTTGTAACTGAATAGGCATTAAAATTAACACTAACTCGCACACCTTGTTAGAGATATATAAAATACTTATGGGGAATAATGCAATTAAGAAATATACTGTATATAAAAAACAAAGTCTATTTTGAACAAACGGAAATCGTATGTATGTATGTATGTATGTATGTATGTATGTATGTATGTATGTATGTATGTATGTATGTATGTATGTATGTATGTATGTATGTATGTATGTATGTAACAGTCAGTGGACAGGCTTTATAAAGGTATAATGTTAGCAAGACATTGCAAAGAGAACTAACTCATCACAATTAATTTTGCTCACGTTATAGGGTTTTAGAAGTTACTTCCCATGTTAAACTTTGTACACTTACTTTGGATAAGAAAGTTATCTAAGTTTCTTCTTCGACTCCTTCCATACCCACCCAGCCCTGGATGAATCCCTTGACGCCCACACATATAAATGTGTGAGTGATTGGGATTTTAATGTAGTTTTAACAATTTTTCAGCCTCATAAGATGTCTGCAGTGTCTCAGTTTGTAGTGATGTCAATCATTGGGTCATCATACCACAGATGTAGCATGATGTCCCACCCAGTCACATTATCATGACACCAAACCCACCAGTTCTAACACTAACCACGTAATGCTGAGAGTAAAACGAGGCAGATGCTTGTACCATTTTTTAAAATAGGTCTTTGATATGATTCGGCCAGGTTTCGAACCCGCGACCTCCCGCATCCGAGGCGGACGCTCTATCCATTTGGGCCCCCCGGAACGGTCACTGATAAAGATGAACAGATAGGGACATCATCACATATAAAGGTAAAGCAGCAGGGAGGGTGAATCCTATAAAATTTTGCTCATATCTTTAACGAAAATAAAGGTTCCTACAACTGGCTGAAAAAAAGTCAATAACGCTAAACTAAAGTCTCTAACTATTATATTTCCGTACGGTTAAAAACCGCATAATAAATCCATGAGGTTAGCTCAGTTTTGTTACTCTATTATTGACTATATTTTTCACGATTTTTATGCGGTTTTGTTTACATACAAAAGGACCCAATTGTTGTCGTTCACCCTCCCTGCTGCTCCTGACTTTTTCACCTGACTTTGTAAGGTTATTAACCAAAGATTTTATCTAGACATATACGATATCTGGATCTTGGGTCATGTAGATTTATGGTTATAAATCCGAACGGAACAGATTGTGCTTTAGAAAAGAAATTTTTAAATTTAATTATGTTCATATCCCCTGAACACCAGGTATAGTAAATATTTCTCAAGGTATAATTATCTACTCCATTAAACACAACCCAAATATTACAGTTTTCTCTGATCAGTTTAGGTATCTGTGTATATCGTTGTGTAGCTGGATTAGATTGTTTGTCAAACATCACATCATCATATACTACAAGATTATTACTGAATCCATCCTAGTCATCTACAGATGGGGCTTTATCTATATCTGTGATAAAATCAATAATATCTTCACCGTCTTTATTAACTGATTTTACTTTCTCGTTAAAATCTTTAAGTACTTCGTAACAATGCTGATCATTCACAGACGGTGCTATTAAATAGTTTGTTCCATCTCATCCATCTAATTATTAAATTTAACAATAATTGTGTTTTACCTGATCCAGATGGACCTATTATAATCATTTTTTTCGAATTTGGTAATGCTGGATGGTGCTTCACTGGTTCTTGTTTTCGTGTCGCCGAAAAATCAATTATTGTATCCATATTATTAATAACATGAGTCTATATTGTGTTCGATGTAAATCATCACACACACCACCCCCCACCGTTGGTGGGACCACTGGATTGACAACAATAATAATAAAAAGTAAACAACATGCACTATCAGATAAATGTGTAAAATGTGGTACACAAAAATATAAATTTATCTCAGGGACAACAAAGACAGGTGGACATATAGCCGCATCATTAGGAAAATTACCCGGGTTACCATGGGCTAAATATATTGGTGAGAAACACCTTCCTAGATATAATTACTGTGGTCATGGAACTCGTCTCGATATCAGATTTGATGACCAGGATCAACCAAGACCAGGACAGTATCCAGTAAATAAAATTGATCAAGCATGTCATGTTCATGACCTTGCTTATAAAAATCCAGATTTGCAACAACGGCATCTTGCAGATGTAAAATTGATTTATGCATTACATTCTATACCTAATAAATCTGTTAGAGAGAAACTCGCTAGTTTCCTAAAAAAAATACGCTATGAAAAGTAAAATTATGTTAGGGGCTGGTAATTAATTATATAATTATTATAATGGAATCTATTTATTATAGTCCTAGAGGGTATTGGAAAGGTAAAGCAACGATCACTAAATTTGCTAAAGCAGCAAAAGTTTCACGTTCTGTTGCTGCAGCGTGGTTAGCACGACAGGCAATATGGCAAATTTATTTACCACCACCATAAAATTCAATATGCACATTTTGATGTCAGTATTCCTAACGAAGTTCATCAAGCAGATATTTTGTTTTTACCACATGATACTAGTAAAACTCGTGGACGAAAGTCACGCACCTACAAATACGCATTGACTGTTGTTGATATTGCAAGTAGATATAAAGAAGCTAAACCATTATCAACAAAAACAACATTTGAAGTTGCATCTGCGTTTGAGCGAATTTATCAACGTGGTAGTCTACGATGGCCACAGCTATTACAAGTTGATCCTGGCAAAGAATTTCTTGGTGCAGTATTATCTTTGATGAAAAAACATAACGTCAAAATCAGACAAGGGCATACTGAAATTCATCGTGATCAAGCAATCGTTGAACGATTTAATCGAACACTTGCTGAGCGGTAATTTGGATATCAATATGCAAAGGAAATATCTACTAACTTTAAGTCCGTTGAGCGATCTCGTGAATGGGTTGTAAGGTTACCAAGTGTGATATCTTCATTAAATAATGAAATTATTCGTGCAACTTCCATGAAAACTTCTAATGTAATAACAAAAAATATATACCACGTAGCGATGAATACGGACAACGAGGTCAACAACCAGTATTAGGTAATGTGATTGTGAGATATTTATACGAACCAGGGGAGTTGGAGGGTGGCAAAAGACGAGCTACTGACCCTATTTGGAGTGTGACCACACATACAATTTCTAGCGTGGTTAGATCTACTGGAAGACCTGCCATATACAGACTAGATTCTACTGCACCTCAATGTGGATTTGTGCGTGAACAATTGCAAGTAATTCATGTGGATACACAATTACCACCGCGTAAACTAGAACCCCGACGTCGATTACATTCAAGACAAGTGAACATCACATTTTCACATGTGTGACCAAAATCACTATTTATTCTCTCTACGGTAAATTGTCTTGCATTATTATTCGAATATTGCCATAACATTATTGTATTACAACTTGCACAGTGATTATTCTGTAGTTGTTTTAGTTTTATAATAAATTCAGTATCAATATCAAAGTCACGTTTATTTTTTATTGTCACATTGTTTATAAGACGCTAATTTTGTCTTTATTACATCAGCGTCATTTGTAATCTTTTCAGTTATCAATTAATCTATGACAATTCTATGCAGTTGAGTTATTCTTCTGACGCGAGATACTGCAAGATAGACTAAGTTTGACCATTCGATTCGATCATCTACAATCCAGATATTTGTATCAGATATAGTTAATCCCTGTGACGAATGAATCGATATAGCGTATCCTAACGTCCACGGTGATTTATCCATACTCAATGCACTCTTAACAATATCAGCTGCTACGAAAACAATATCATTCAAAACCAGATTTTGTACTCGGACACCTTCAGTGTCTCCACTTGGAATTTCAACGTCAATATTTTGTCGTCGAGTATCTGCTGGGCGATAACATAATGGTACAGGTAGATTTAAAACCTTTTCTTGATGTAACGTAAATAATTTCGTTTGCAATTCATCACGAACTATTTTTCTACTTGTTACTATCAAATCAGTAGGTCTCCATAAAGTCCAAAAATCATTCATGGTAGTTTCTGGAATTATCTCACGCATTATCTCACATTGTATTTTATCTGGTTGTAGTCTGATTAACCTTTTAAGTTCTTTCAGCGGTTCATCAATAGCTATATGATCATCATGTATTTCTTCGTAATAATCCACATTATTGTTTAGTCATTCATGTGGAGACTGTCCAGCAAAAGGTGGTGTTTGACCATGATCACCACACATAATCACCGCCATGTTTTTTGTTAATAACTATTCAAGGAATGTTTTTAGTGTGTCTAACGACACCGTGCATATCTCGTCCCATATAATATACTTAGGTATATATTTTCTACCCATTCGCTCAGGAGTCCACGTATCTCCGCACCATCTAAAAAAATATGATATGTACATGTTTTATCCCTCGTTGTTTTATCTCTCTAGCAAGTTTATATGTAGGCGTCAAAACAATCATATCTTGAGCTGTTGTTCATAAATAATTTAATCGCACGAGTTATTTTACCTGACCCTCCACATCCATTAAGATAAACGGTCTTATGTCTAATCACAGGATCTTACACAGATGGTGCAGATGACTTTGATTTTTGATTATTATTTTTGTAATATATTTCCTTAATATCAACGTTAGCAAATTCAGAATAACTTAGTATATTTTCTTGCTTTGTTCTCCATGTTCCCCATTCACCATTACCGAGTAGCGGATATAATAAATCCTTATATTTTTTGTTTATATAAAATGAATCCGTAGCGACTCTAACAGCGTGACGAGAAAATCTATTTATCATAGACAGTAGATTTATAGAAACATAGGCTAGCATCGAAGATCTTAAATGAGTAAACTGCTGTGAGTCGCCCTCAATATAGCTCACAATGGTGCCTAGTTTGGTCCCATCCGATAAATAAGCATTACTTCGGCTTATAAATGTGTTTTTTCTCCGTTGTATCAGTTGTTATAAAATCTAACTTAGCATCGTCCATAATCAATCTTACGCAGTGCCGTTTATGATCGTATGCACTGCCTTGAGTAAACTTGCCAATTATCTTTCTACCAAGATCTTTTGCACGTTTTTCATCGTGCTCATCCCTGCATTTACGTATATTACTAGTAATTGTAATAATGTCATCTTCGGCAAGATCAGGAAATTCTTTCCTGGCATCATCAATACTAAATCTGTCCGGTTCTTGTAACCAAACTTGCTTTTGTGCGATATAATCGCTTCATTAACCCTCAATGATACTAAAATTCCAGCATCAATCATATATCTTAATAACACTACTGGAGTCCAACATTTTTCTGAAAAATGTCTTTCAAACCAAGCATATGTAATCGGATGGAGATCTTTTCCGAACTCAAATGATTCTATACATGCAAATCCGGTTAAGTCAAAATCTGGTAAGGGTCCATTAATCGAAACTTTGGTCATGTCATGTGTAGGATGTCCGAATCTGTCGAAGTATTTAGAACATTCTCCACATCCAATAAAACTTCCAGGATAACATGCAGCCATATCATCGGAGATAAAATCATTATACTCGTATTTAGTATTCCATAATCCACCGTGCTCATATTCTATGCAACTTTTTGTATATCCTCAATAACTTCTGATCTTGTCGGTCTCCATAAATTTTTCTCTTGAGCGACATGAGCCGCTACCGATGGTACTGTATAACAATTATTTAGTTGTTGTCTAACTTTGACATCATCAGAAGTATATTTTAGTGCAAGATTTCTCATTTCTTCATAAACAGATTCTGTACGATAAATATCACCATTG